AAAATCCCTCCGTTCCAATTCGCAATAACAGGTAGACATCGCGCATTTATAAAATGATCGCCGCAATTCGGTGCCAAAACCGAAACGCGCTGAATAGGCAATTTATGTAAATATTGTGGGTCATATTCAAGTAGATAATTTCCTGTTTGGTCGCTCGGAATTTCGCCGATTTCCATGGCACGCCGTCGAAGGTTCCACCATGGAAATCGGGGAGAGGAGAAAAAAGCACGATTTTCCACGAGTCCCACTCTTGGACCGATTTAGCTGCGGCTCGGCCTTAGAACACTACTGCCAATGTATAAATAGCCAATCTATCGACCAACTTAACATTAAAAGCATTTCAAATAATTTCGAATTGTTTTATTGCGAAAACAAAACGCCACAACCGCTTTTCAAATCCAGATTTAAAACTCATTTGCTAGCCGACAGCTGCAACCGCTCACTTGTGCATAGAACATCATAGTGTGGATTTTTCTCAAAGAAAAAATTCATTTCACTTGCGATTAGCTTGATCAGAGGAAAGCTGCAATTTTCTCCGGCTTTTCATCTTAATAGCCGTGTCTGTTGGACTTGCGGCTTTGGGACCGGATTCATTAACGTTTTCCTCAAAAAACAAAGAAGTCGAAACCAGTGCCAAAAAAAGTTTCCTTAAGATTTTTTTTGTTTGCGGCAATTAGTGGGTTTGGAACTGGGCGAAAACTGCTCTTTTTGTTCAAAAATGGCCAACGGTTTGACTTTTTCGAGCAGGAGCAGAAATCGTTCGGTCATTTTTGCAGAAAACGAGGAGTTTTAGCCCAGTTCTTCCAGGTGAAATAACGTCAATGCTTCTCAAGAGGCAGATTAATGGAAATGGTGTGTAATCTTGACAGAGTGACCGAACTAATTATTAAGTTCGACTTCGCATGTACATTTCGAACTCCTTATAATGCGATAGGCGTTATCTTGAACAAATAGAATGTAATTTTTGCAAATAAATGGCGCAAACTGGAGATAAAGCCGGTAGATAAATAATTGAGAATCCTTTGAGAAAACAAGGCTCGGTGTCGTCAGGCGCGAGATGTCTGTTGCACACACTATTCTATCATCCGGAAATGCTCTTCAGGCAGTTACTTTTGTGATATTTGGCCACTATTTAAATGGGTCTCCCCCTGTAGATGCGTTTGTCAGGCTCACGCTCCACTGGCAAGAAAACCTGTTGACTGAATTTCCCGCGCTAGTTGCGATCAACACACTGTAGAGTAGTAGGAAAACGCAATTTACTGGAAATTCGGTAATTTTGAGATTGCCACTCGGCTGTGAAGGTCAAAAGGTTCCAACAAACAAAATATAAATGTTCGGATTGTTGCCACATGTAGGCGGTTTGACTGGTGCAATTTTCCATTTGCGACCTTTCGAGATAAGCAGCATCAATTATCGTCCCCTTGGGCTCGATGCCGACGTTTTGCATACAATTGCATCATCAAGTTTTGCACTTTGAGCTCCCAGATCCCAACCATCATGTAGAACATTGAAGCGCGAGTGCCAAGATAAATTGAATGCGTTTCAAGTCCACTCATGATCGATTTTACGTTTTATCCGCCTGCCAAATTTATATTTACGTGCTGAAAATCCTTCCGCCCTTTCAAGCTTTCAGCGAAACAATTTCGGTTTCATCTAGCCGAAAATTCTTAAGCAAATCTTGGCCGCTTCAACACCACGAGTACCAGAAAACCGTTAGGAGCGACGCCTATGATGTAATCTTGTTGACAAATGGTTGGCGAAATGATGGATTTCGGTTCTTCGAACTATACCAAGAAACTTTTAAATGTCGCAGACATAAAATATTGACCGCGCTAAGAGCATGACTGAGACAACGCCAAAATCTGCCCAAGCTGGCAACCAGGCAATCTCGGAAAAAACTTCAAAACCATCTAATTACCGAGCATGAGCTTACTTTTGAGTGAAACAATGCGATTAGATATCTGCAAGGCTGCTTGATACGTTGGGCCGCTCTCATCACAACTCGAAGTCAACAACAGTGTTGCCTAATTAACGATTATTGTTTTGTTTGTCGACAGTGCGCAGATTAATTGCCTTGTTTATGCAAAACGGTAATAGGTAAGCAGTGCGCATCAAAAGAAAGTCGATTTAACGATAAATAGTCAAGCTTTCG